GATTCAGGGCGGGTTTGTATTTCAGTGATAAAACACTTGCCTAGGATGTGCAAGGCCCTGGCTTGATCCTCATTGCAGCCCCCCCAAAAAAAGGAGGGGGGGGGAGAAAGAAAAAAGTAGAGGATGAGGATCATTGGTAAAAAGAAAAGAAGGGAACAGGGGCCCTGGAGGAAGCCCTTGTCTGAGACTTAGGGCCTCTGGATGCCGCAGCACCCTGCCTGCCCCAAATTGGCCAAGTGAGCTCAGGCTAGTCAGGGTCTCTCTTGCACCTTACTGCTCTATCCAGCCTATCTGCAAGGAAGGGTGTCAGCCTCCCTTGGTGTCCTTGGAAGAGAGAAATGCCACTTCCCCTGCTGAGGGAATTTTCTGAATTGGATCATCCCTACAATTTTTTTTAAAATTGGAAGTCCCAGACAGCTGTTCTCAGAAGTGCAGTTCACACAAAAGAGGAAGGTGAATGAAGCCTGACTAAATCAGGGTAAGTTGCCAGATGGCCACGTGGCCAGAAATTGGGAAGGTGGAACTTGAACCCAGCTTGTTTATGTTGAGTTAGCCTAGATTCTTGTGTAGGAAGGTGATATAAGCGGAGCTGTACAAAGTCGGATGTGTATAAACTAGGAACCTCACCCTGCTGTTTCTGATATCCTGGAGTCTATTCACCAGAGTCCTCAGTTAGATCAGGAAAGGCCTGAGACAAGGAAACACGTATGTGGGGGCCTAGAGCCCTGATGACCAAGAGGCAGCAGCTAGAGCCTCAGTCAAAGTTAGCAAAGCTGGACTGAAGTTTTCACTGAGTTATTATGAAGCCTTGGAGTAAAAATTTCCACACTTTCAGCCTTTGTTTCCTTGTATAATGGAGATACAGAAGGGCATGATGGCCCAGCACTCTGAGACAGGAGGATTACTGCGAGTTCCTGCAAAGCCAGCCTGGGCTACATAGTTTCAGGGCCAGCCTGAACTGTATAGCAAGACCTTGTCAAAAAAAAGGCTTTCCAGAGAGGCTTGTATCAATTAAGATTTTCCTTCTGCAGGGTACAGCAATCTTGCCTCAGCCTCCTATGTGTTGGGATTACAGGCATGTGCTGCCACACCCAGCTTGTTTTATTAATTTAGGAGGGCATCCTCTACCTAATTTCCCATTATTTTGAAGTTAGGTATAACAATGACTTCATGAAATTATTTCCTTTGGAGGTTTTATAAAGAGCTACACATATTAGCAGATGGGTTTACCCACTAGCTGCTTTCAAAAATGTGATTTTGGAGCCAGGTGTAGTGATGCATACCTGTAATCCCAGCGCTCTAGGAGGCTGAGGTAGGAGGATTGGCAAATTCAAGCCCAGTCTGAGTAATCTAGTGACTTAGTGAGACCTTGTCTCAAAAATTTCAAAAAAAAAAAAAAAAACTGTGAATGTAACTCATTGTGATGGCCCTGGATCAATCTCCAATACTGTAAAGAAAAAAACATTTGGGAGGACCGGGAACATAACTCAATGGTAGAGCACTTGCTTAACATGTGCAACATCTTGGGTTCTATCCTCAGCATTGAAAAAAGGAATAGAGCTTAAATTTTATTATTACCAAGTGTCTTCCAAATCCTAAGTTTTCATATCACTTTTCTAAGATAATCTTCACTATGAAATTATGAGATAGTATCACTTTCTACATTTTTACAGATGAGGAACTGGAGGCTCAGTGAAGATAAGTGACTACCCCTGAAGTGATGGGTTTGGGAACAGACCCACTTCTTCCATGAAGAACAGAAAAATGGTCCTCTATCCAGAATATTTAAAGGAATTGGGGGAAAGATGATGGTTCATGAAACAACAAAACCCTTCTTCTTGTGTCTCCTTTAAATCAGTCAGAGTAAGACTTTTGACCCCTGACTAGGAAGGATCAACACCCCTTAGCCAGAAGCAGTTATAAAAAGACTGACCCTCAGCCTTTCTACACCCCTAAAGAATAAGTGATTGAAGCAGGAAGGGAGGATAAGGTAGGATAGAAGAAATAAAAGTAGAAAGGAGACAAGGAAAATCAGAATTTTAAAAGTAAAAACTGCAACTTCAGGATACCAGCTTAGTTTAATTTGTTTTATGTTCTCCCAAGTCACAATATGCTTAGGCAATTCCCCTTCACCTGCAACTGTGTACAGCCATTCCCTTTTATGTGCCAATGGCCCTCTTTCACCTGTGAATAGACCCCTTCTTTTCCTCTGTAAAATAGGCTTTTTCCTATAAATGTACCATTATCTTTCCATGGGTCAGCTGTTGTTGTTCAAAAAACCAAGACCCAAGACAGAACTTCATATAGAGTCACAAATTTCATAAGTTTCCACCCTCTCAATAGAAGTATAAATGTTCCCAGTTTGAAAAACCAGTGTCTGTCTCTCTCTGTCTCTGTCTCTTTGTCTCTGTCTCTCTCCCTCCCCCCCCCCCGTCCTCTCTCCTTCCCTCTCCCCCTCTTTCCCTCCCCTCTCCCCCACCTGCCCCCTCCAAGGCCTATACTCTATTTCTTTGAGTATGTTCTTTTAAAAATCTGCCTACCAGGCATGGTGGTGCAATCACAGCACTCGGGAGAGTGAGGCAGGAGGATTACTGTGAGTTCAAGACCAGCCTGGACTGCACAGTCAGACCCTGTCTCAAAAAAATTTTTTTAAATAATAATGTTACTAGAAGAGTTCATGGAGAGCAAGAAAAAGGAGACTGTACAGGATATAATCCATATGTTCCAAATTCCATGGGACGGGAAAAGGGATTTCTGTGACTTATGTAAGCCTGACTTAAAGTGCATCTCTTCAAACAAGGATGGAGACTTCCAGAGCCTTGGTTCTGCAATGTGGGCAAACCATGTCCTAACAGTAAGAGCTTTCTTACTTTTTTTTTCTTTGAACAAAATGCTGCTGATCAGCATGCATTGTGGCCTCCAAAGACAGAACTGCGATAGGCCTCAGTTGAAACTCAAGGATGTTCTCGAGGCAGAGCTGCCCCTGGAGGAGACAAACTTCCCAACCCTGGGCCTGTGTAAGCAGGTGCTTACTCCCTTCCACCAAAGAGGCCACAGATGGAATTCAGACCCTGGAAAAAAAAATGAACAGCAGCTGCCATTTATTTTGCATCTTCCATGTTTCAGATACTACAATAAGCACGCCACTTACGTTGTTTCTAACCCTTCCAACCATCTCTCATAATACATAAAACTCTGATTTTACAGATTTCACAGACTGAGGCTCAAAAGTGAAAATGACCTTGCTAAGGTCACACAGCTCATAAGAGCCAGGCCTGGACCCTGTTCCCCCTGGCTCTGAAGCTGTGCCTCCCACTCTAGCTACAGTACACTTCTCCCAGGAAGGTTAAGCCAGATAAAAAACTGGTGTGGAAAGGTACATAAGTGGGTATCACAGCCAGCTATTTCAGTATTCCTCAGGGATCCTGGGAAGAAGGGAAGGGAGCGGGTGTGCAGAAGCCCCTTAGCATGGCTAAAATAGGAGCAGCACACACTCCAAGTCCAGAGCAGGCACCCAGGACAGACTGACTGACACTTCATGCAAGGACCTCTCCAGAGAAGGTGGTCAATAGTCTACTTGA